TTAGTGTCATGCTCCTCCACAACGCGATTTGTACTGCATAATTATAGGTTGGCGCTCTAATTTAGAGTGCTATTAACTGTGGAATGCATTTTAAAATGTTGGGGATCAAATGCACCTAAACCAAAGTCTAGGAAAATCGAGTTAGTTAACCAAACCACCAAAATCTTCACATAGTCATATTCTGCGAGTTAATGCAGTACTGCAAAATATATCCCAAACATTCTCGTGGGGTGACAGTCGGGATATTGTTGCATTGTTAACGTTGTGTTTGACGTTAATTTTCACGGTGGAAAGTTCACTGGCCCGAAATGTTTTTAAGACATCTTGGAGTTGGTCACAGTAGTAGTTTTCTGGCCTGCCGACACTGACCAGTCTGAAGAAGAGCACTGTTAGCTAAGAGGGACTCCCACAATATTAGTGCATAACATTTCCCGATATAGCACCCGGTCTGATTCACAGTGTTCTTTGTCACCTGTTGCCACGCTGCATTTGCTGGCTCCTCACAAAACACACTGTGCTTCTTTGCGTTTTCTTGTGTTGTTTCGGTCTTCGGCTGTTTCGAGCAAAAAATGGTAAAACATTCGCAATGGGGGTCGTAAGACATTGTGTGCGCTACTCGGGAAGTTTACGCAACTCGACCTCAAAAGTATATGTCCCTAAGGTGAATAACTAAAGCGTAATTAAAGCATCTAAAAACGGGGATAAGCTACAGACAGCCAATTATGTCTGCGTAGGCAAATCAAACACCCAAAATGGTCACTGGGAAACAAATATCTTCCCATCTTTAGGTGACCCGCATTGTAGGTTTTTCATCACTAAATTTCGTTGATTATTTACCTGGATTTATCCGACATTTAGCCGCAAAATGTTTTGAGATGATCGCGGCTGGACAACAATTATCGCTGCTCCCTCCCAGACTTCAAGGTGATCACATAACGCGTGTGCCACTTATGGCCTAGTAGTTCACGCTATATCTACTTGCCTCGACGTTGCCATTTTATATCGCTTTGGAGAAACATATGGTGTCAACTGGTGATGGGTCGCAGTATGATTGGGCGGAACCTTAAATAGATTATGTAGATAGATGCATACATACATAGATAGATAGATAGATAAATAGGTAGATAGATAGATAGATAGATGATAGATAGATAGATAGATAGATAGATAGATAGATAGATAGATAGATAGATAGATAGATAGATAGATAGATAGATAGATAGATAGATAGATAGATAGATAGATAGATAGATAGATAGATAGATAGATAGATAGATAGATAGATAGATAGATAGATAGATAGATAGATAGATAGATAGATAGATAGATAGATAGATAGATAGATAGATAGATAGATAGATAGATAGATAGATACATAGATAGACGGACAGATAGGTAGATAGATAGATAGATATGTAGATAGATAGATAGATACAGAGAGAGACAGTAGATAGATTAATCACTGCGACACTAGAAACTACATTTTAAAATACGGATTACATCTCTTTGATTTGCCACCGACTTAATGATAATACGTAACTATTTGTTGTCATTCTTTATCAATGAAAGCGCCACGTATTCGTCCCAGATGTCAGCTGCTTGCTTATGTAAAGGCATTTTTAAAACGCTCAAGTAAAACTCAGCGCAACTTATGAACAAGGATGAATTAATCACTGGGCAAAGTGTAATTTGGCGAGCGTAATTAATTTGAACCATTCAGGCCTCATGAAGTAATCTTGGCCGTTTAAAAATTCATGACCCCAGAATTGCAGAGGCAGAACAAAACGTTCGCGTGGCTCACCTGTCTTCATTTTTGGTGACCTGGTTTGTGAAGGACAACTTGGGAAATTCGCCCGCTACACAATGACTAGCTGGCCACTAGGGTGTTGAACTATCCAACAATAACACAGCTACACGGTTTCAATGAAAACATCATATGCAGCGCAAAAAACAACCTTTCTCGATTTCCCTGGTTGGTTTCTCGTGAACTTCATCGGATAACAGCAATGCTGCTGAAACAGTTCTTTTTGTTTGAACTTCAAAAATACTGAACCAAGGTTTCCGGTGCTTTGACTTCCTTTCACGCGAGTTTAATACGGCTATCCATAAAGTCACTCAATTTGAAACCAGTCTCACACAGCATAGTTGCGGTTGGACAATTACCGATATCTCAGTCACACAGCGATGGTCAAATAGGTGTCTGATTCAAATTCTTGGATGGTGCCACGTTCCAAAGTTCCCTTCTTGAGAGAAGTAACTGTATCCAGTGTATTTTGCTCGATATCTAAACTGATTATAATAATAAGATATGTGCATATGTCTACAGTGATTTCATCCGTGATTTCAAGCTGATGAAAGTGGGCCTTAAGATTCGTGCTAGACATGAGTGAGAATATTAGCTTCGTTCCTTCGAAGTGTTTCGCTAAATAATCAGGGAAACTAATGACAGTCATTGTACATAGTGATGAATTTCTTCATTCGTACTTGCAACACGATACTGCGGTATGATTGTCCGTTGCATGCATCCAACGTCATATGGCGATTTTCCGTCCAAAGGCTTTTATCGAGCGAATATTTTCGCCAAACCCCAAGCGACAGAGCTCCAAGTAATGCTTGCGCCCTTCGAATATAGATGAATAGCAAGAGATGCCTTGTGGTCATAATTTGTGCTTGTAGAGGTGAATTTTACTAGCTTAATCTACAATTCATTTCGCCTGTCAACCAAATTCACCGGATAGAGCTGATACAAAATCCGCCTTCGTTATGCGGTATTCCGACTTAGATCTTCATGGACAGAATGTGTTACCACTTGAATAGCTCTGCAAATGCACCTGTGTTCGTTATTCATTTTTCAATAATCATTGGGGGCAAAAGGGAAGGACTTAAAACGATAGATTGTGGTCACGAATGTTTAGCTTCTGACCATAAAATGTAATACGTGTCTTATGACCACAACCGTACTGAGGAACCTCAACTGGTTCAATGTGGTCATAAATCTCTGCTCACCCGTGTGGTGTTATCTAAAAATTAAGGCAATTAATTTGCGAAACTGCAGCTGAGTAAGGGCAAACGGTAAATGGAATATGACGGATGAAAGCGCAAACCACAAATGCACATAAACAAAGGGCATATGCTGATCATGCACGAGGCAGAGATAGAGACGGCCAGTGTTCATAACGAGCACGGCCAGTCTTCGTGTTGCGTGTTAACCAACGGAAATGACGTTTCGCCCCCGGTTCACAATAGACGAGTGAATACTCACATCGATTTTGGGCGAACGAAATCTTCTCCACGCTTACAATAACGAATACCAAACCCGGAGTGTTCATTTCAGCAAACGTCTTTTTCAAATCCATTAGAATTCGTTTTCTTCCACATTTTAAATGGCTCTCGTTAGCAGCGTCCTTGACAGATGCATGTAGAAGGATATGAGTGATCATTAGAAAACCAGACGGCTGTTAATGAACCAATTTGGGTATCTTGGCCGGACAGCTGAAGCTCAACGTGTATACACATAATAGTGAAAGGTTCATCAGGCCATCAAAACAACTAGCTTCGTTAATTATGAACTCTCAGCACCAGTAGGGCTGTACAACCATTCCGATTGGCAACTTAATCCAGTGCTTCGAAGGAGTCATACCTAATTTTTAGATAACACCACACGGGTGAGCAGAGATTAATAACTACATTGAACCAGTTGAGGTTCCTCAGTACGGTTGTGGTCATAAGACACGTATTACATTTTGTTGTCAGAAGCTAAACATTCGTGACCACAGTCTATCGTTTTAAGTCCTTCCTTTTTGCCCCCAATGATTATTGAAATATGAATAACGAACACAGGTGCGTTTGCGGAGCTGTCCAAATGGTAACACAATCTGTCCGTGAAGATCTAAGTTGAAATACCGCGTAACGTAGGCGGATTTTGTAGTACCTTTATCCGGGTTGAACGTAACTATAGACTACTCAAAGCCATAAGTAATGATGATGCTCAAAACTACCGATCAACTGGCCACTGATTCGCGTCACCATCCACATGCATGTTCATCGTGATTTCGTCCCGAAATGCGGGGCCCACCGCTTGCTCGTCTTTTTCTACCGTTCGGTGGAGGAATGCGCATGTGGTTTTCCTGTTTTTGACTTGCAACTAACGTACACAGTATTTTGTTCCACGTAGAGTGGACATCAGGTTTCGCCGCCATCAAAGNGTCATAAGACACGTATTACATTTTGTTGTCAGAAGCTAAACATTCGTGACCACAGTCTATCGTTTTAAGTCCTTCCTTTTTGCCCCCAATGATTATTGAAATATGAATAACGAACACAGGTGCGTTTGCGGAGCTGTCCAAATGGTAACACAATCTGTCCGTGAAGATCTAAGTTGAAATACCGCGTAACGTAGGCGGATTTTGTTAGTACCTTTTCCGGGTTGAACGTAACTATAGACTACTCAAAGCCATAAGTAATGATGATGCTCAAAACTACCGATCAACTGGCCACTGATTCGCGTCACCATCCACATGCATGTTCATCGTGATTTCGTCCCGAAATGCGGGGCCCACCGCTTGCTCGTCTTTTTCTACCGTTCGGTGGAGGAATGCGCATGTGGTTTTCCTGTTTTTGACTTGCAACTAACGTACACAGTATTTTGTTCCACGTAGCGTGGACATCAGGTTTCGCCGCCATCAAAGGTGTGGGACTCTTCGATAGGTTTCTTGCGGACCATCGGATGTTTGATCAAGTCTGAGTTTTGTATGTCCACGATCTCATACAAGTGCTTTAGGTAAAATGAGGCAATGAGTGATGAACGGATTATGGCGTGTGCGTCATTTGTGAACTAGTCATGAATCGTGTGGTTTTGCAGCCTTACCTGGTTGAACCCCATTTGCAGGCGCTGACTGTGCGCATATTTGACCTGGACTCAGGATCTTGAAAGCCGCGCTACATTCATTTTTTGCCGAGCAACAGGCCAAAATATAAATTGATTTTTTTCAACTTTCTAGGCATTTCGATATAAGACATTTTATACCGGCTTATTGGCATACGAGTGCGGGCACCAGCGTATGGAATTTTGTGTGGCTATTCATAAATTAAACGATGATACTGCCAACGTTACATCAGGCTTGGCCACATTTCTAGGCAGGCAGGTGATATATTTGTGGGGTGCGTGCTAGTGATGTTTTAATAATTCTGCAGCCTACTTTTATCTAGGAGCATTCTTAATTTCCTTGTGATCCTGTATAAATAGACTTTTCTCCAATTGCCAAACCACCACTGGGTGTTTCGTTGAAAGGGCCTTATCGGCTCATCCACATTGTCGATGGCCTGAGGTAATTCGTGTGTTGGATATACATCGTCATATTTCAGCAAACGAACTGCACCGCATTATTGAGTGGCCTCCGTCTTCCAGCTTTTGGGCAACATGTACTTTCTTCCTCACTACACCTCATCTCACTGTAACATTGCACTGGCGTTTATCTGGATGCAGTCAAAATGATAAGCATAGCTATCTCGGGTACCCAACAAGGGGCACCTCCGTTCAGCCGCAAAATTTTTGCTTTATAAATTTAGGTAGTTTTCTGCTGATGCCAGTCCGCAGAGATATGTTTAAAACCAACGTCAATAGTGATTCAGCTATAGTACCTCGGAAAGTGTTTTCATAAGCAGCACAGCGACAAGCCATCGGATGTCCAGTTGGAAAATACCAGTATGTTTACCAAAGTTTTTATTCTATTTGCAGAATTTCTGTTGAAAAAGAAGATAAATTGGAGCCCAAACCCGAAATCTGAACGCTTTTACAAAGTGGCGTGTTACACTTCTACGGTGACATTAGCTTACACAAAACTGAGACCGCTAGGTTCTCTGGTCTGCGCTAACGAATTCACCGATGAGTTCTTGAATAGTCTGCTGGAACTATCTCCGGCAACTCGACATCTTTGGATCTCAACACCAGAGAAGTTGCTTTAACGAAGCAGTTCGTTACATTTCCAAGGGGGTATATGCTTACACAGATTAAGAGTATTAGGAGATGGTCACTTCAGGTGAAGGTTGTTGCAGCTGAAGTGAAATTGAGTTAAAGTTCTCGGGGAGCAACGAAATACAGACCGTTTGTTTGAAAGTAAACTGTGCTTCTCTTCATTTGTACCAGGATTAATAACCTGCGTACTAACAGCTGCATGTGCGTTTGAAAAAGTACATGTGACTGTCACACATTCGGACGATATTTATGACTTCCTCGTTTTCTGATTAATGTACAGAATAAGTTCGCCTAGATTTGACAACACTCATGTCGTGTGGATATTACTCATAAGCATTGGGTTTCACGCAGCTAGCTTTCTAAAATTCAAATTAAATTGAGATACTTGAGTGCCGAAAACTCACAAGTGTAAGTATCTATTGAAGAACGGTAAAAATTAGTTCGACCATTAGTATGAGAAGAACTTATAAACAATCGGCAACTTTCTGACGTGGAGAATTGCGTATTTGAAGAAAAGCTCCCTGGGGCCAGGAGATTCAGTTTGAGGCGGAATAGGCCAAATCGAAAAATGTGTCCTAGTTACAGGCTGGTTGGCCTTATGTGTCGGTTGGGAGGTTTTATTTGTTGACGTGGGTAAGTCAACGTGAAGGCCAATGGCTTCAGGTCTCATACACTCGTCTGTTTCTGGCGTAAGATAGCACTCAGCTTCATGGTGGTTTCAAAAAATCCACGGTAGCCAGTTATTCTGGAGTTGAGTCCACATGTATGCTGAATTTCGCTCGAAGACACAAACTTCGATATATTTGTGAGAAGCATTAGTCACCTCGTGGTTGATCACCGCGATATGTTCATCTACGTGCTCTAAACCCTCTCAATCGCCGCGCAAACCTACACAGCTAGGTCAACCTAAAAGGATTGAAATGCTTGAAAGTCAGCTTGTACCACGTCCACAATAACTTCATACTCATCACGGAGAAATAATAAGTGGAATCTATAGACTACTTTATTCAGTTTATTTCCAAGAGGATTTGTGATATTCTACAAGTTATAAATTATGCCGGTCTAATTGTCACAGTACACACTATACAAATCAGTGGTCCCAATGAACTACACAAATTGCTTCGCAATTAACAGGCATCAGACATTACTGAAAGGTTGTGAGCTTTCGGTTGAGATGCCGAATATCGTGGGACACATGATATTCCTGCTGGCGTTCGGACAATGAAACCGTCCGTTCAACTTGCCAATAGATCCTATGGCACATATATTGCTTAGCTTCGTGTTCACTTTGCCGACTGTCGTGGCACCGCCTTGAATATCAGCTGCATGTTAGTGTCCTAGCACGCATGCATCAAACCAAGGCTCAGTAGTAGTGGAGATGACCCTGGCAAGATAACACAGATATATGCTTGACTAGCGTGCAGGTATACGGTGGGGAGCATTTTTCTCAGGTAACTAGGACATCACTATTAGTTGAGATGCCCTGAAAATCTAAAGTTATTTCCTGTTAGAGGATGCCAGGCTACATATCACAGTAAGCTAAGTATTAGGTGAGTGGCTCTTCGATTTGAGATACAAAAACAGTTTAGAGTATGAAGTATCGAGAAGTAAAAAACTCCATCCAAAAATCCAGTCGAATAGGAACAGTAAAATGCTTTGTGTGCAGCTTGAATAACGAGATTTCCATGCATGTTGTAAAACCTTATTCGAATCCCCGATTATCTCGTTCACCACAATCAGCTTCAGTGCGCAGGGGAGCATCGTCTGTCCAACGATAAAGGAATGCAAATTCAATGCGCAGTGGAGCATCGTCTGTCCAACGATAAAGGAATTCTACCAACGTGGATGGCAAATCCTATCACGATATACTGGGTTGTTTGCGAAACCCTTCTCAAAATGCATCCAGAAGCTACATAAACCGTAGGGATCACAAATGTCCGATTTGTAACAAAGTGTTCCATTTCTCCTCAAATATGCAAGACCGTCGGATGATGCATATAAACAGCCGTGTTTTCAGATCTCGTAGATGTTCAGAATCATACAAATATTTCCGTGTCTTCTTCATCACCTGAGAATGATCCATAGAGTGCAAGATGAAGTTTGTCCCGGAAGATCAATGAAGGGATCTTGAGAATCAGCGAAAAGTGGTTGTCTGTGTCCACAGCGCGGTCAGTTGCTTAGAGTGCGCAATACTCTGTGGCTTCACCGGAAAACCATACATGGTAATTGCGCGCGGCATACATGCGAGCTGTGCGATTGGGTTTTTAGTCGGAGGACAAATTGCTTCAGGTTACATGGTAATTGCGCGCAGCATACATGCGAGCTGTGCGATCGGGTTTTTAATCGGAGGACTTGCTTCAGGTATTTGTGGACAGTGCATGGAAATGAGGTTTGCCGCAAATGTGGATAATGCAGACCATTTTTTCCACCTCATCTTAACTGAAAGAACACTTGTTGACAAGGTGAAATTCAGACCATGAGTAACGTCCATTATTGCGCGTATGATAGTTCGAAGAATATAGTGTTTTTAATGTGGAATACAAATTGTGTTTTTCCTGTATTTCTTATACTTGCAGATTTGGATCAGGCGGATAAGACGTCAACCAACAGAGACTTGGGAAGCATCTTTTCTATTTGATGAAGTAGTTTTACTCTTTATTAGTGCTCTCTGGAGGAATGTGTGAATGTACAAATCGCATTGTCCCATTGTGAACTCTCTCGTTGACAAACAAACTAGTATAACGTCGGGTGCCAGAGTTTGAACGAGCTTTCCCACCCTTCCCTGTTCGAGAAGTAGTCTCACCTTCAGGCAGTTCACTGAAAAGTTCACAGCTACCCAGTTAAACAAATGGAAATTTTCGGGTTCGGACCATAACAATAGTTTGACTGAACTCGTTTACCTGAAATCAAAAGATAACTTAGATTATTGTGATTCCTCGAGGAAACTTAACCACAAACTCGCAGCTCTGGAAGGATGTTGAAAAGCTGCCTCTGACACAAAAGGCCAAGTCAGAAATTAAATGGAGTAAAACTGGACTGCGCTTTTCCAATTGTCATCAGCTACCGACATTACAGGTTGAAGTGGGTACATGAATAAGGCATCATTGGTGGTAGCCGCACAACTAGCCCTTCAAATGCTTAGCCACCGTTGGCCTGGCTAAGGTCTATTTTTTCTGATTACCAGGAAGATCACTCGTGGACCGCTAACTGTGAATGCTTTGGTATTTTGACAGAAAAAGGGTTGTGTGAGACAACTTATTCGGAGTGAAAACTACATGCGTGTCGCAATCTTTTGCGGAAAAATGTTGTAGAAAACAGCTTTTCAGCATTGTGCGCCTTTCGGTCGATATCTGTCTCCCCCTGGCGACATCGATTGTGAAGCGAAGTGAACCGCGATTCTATCCTCAGACTGGTGTTGTACAGCCATATTGCGTTACTCTTATGGTATCTGCAAAGGGAAACCTGATGTGTTTTTTGAGTACGTGCGTTACAATCTTTCAAAAGTACCAAAAATTGGATTTATTGGTCCTTTTTTCGTGAACTGGTACGCGTATCTTAAGCCCAAAAAACGGATAGCCGCAACAAATATGTCCGTCGGTTGAGCTGGTAGAATCTGCTAAATTGACATTCCTGTAGTCCATCAGTGCGACTTTCCTCGGAAGGCCTAGCCCATCCGCTCTTAACGGAAATAACGAAAATTGAGCAACACCTGGAGCTACGATGATTGTTGTTTGTTTCTCACTTGGAGTGAACTTCAGAACTGACTTCTGGTGGACAATTTGCTTAGTTATCTTCAAGACCACATTTAATACCGTGCATCCGTTGGCGCGGTTGGTCTTCCAATGCATTTCCTACTGAAAATAACTCATTTGTAAATATCTTTGCAGTATACGGTTCTTTGTAGGGAAGGACATTAAGCGTTGTAAATCAATGTGACTACTATCAACATTAGGAGAGATATGGGATGCTACGAAATTTCTCGCTGACGCAGCTTAGTGAAAATTTGTGAGTAGTGGGAATACGTTAAGCTTGCAATATCGTTGGCAGGTGAGGAACAAATTTTTGGGTAGCTCGTATAGATTTATTAGTGTAGAGATGTTATGCAGATAATGCGGATTTGATTTTGTTTCCCACATCCAAACCAGGCAGCCAGGCTGGCCTACTTGGTAGCTCAAACGCTGATCCAAACAAATTTTCCGAAATACGTATGCGCTTGTACAGAACCTCTGTATAACATCGTTGGGATAGACATTGCATCGAAAAAAATTTTGTTGAGCTTCGCTCACGTCATTTGCTTTGGGATATTTTGAAGTCAGTTGTACTCCTCCTCGTGGCTGTAGCTTAGCAAGACTACGGTTTGTCGAGTGATGAGTCAGAGCGTGGGTTTTTGACATCTTGATTGAATCTGTTGCGGGCTGATTCCATTTCTTCTGATGAACTTTCAATCGTTTCTCCCCCAAAAGGACAGTAAACAATATTCGCGGAATATCTTAGCAGTTGTATACGAGATTCTGCTTTTCCCTGATAAGATGGATGATTTTGTGCTCCCATGAGCGTGTGGAAATATACCACAAAAA